GAGGTCTTTTGTGTTTAGAACAATATATACTAATTTTTAAAGTATCAAATTGAATATTTGTTCATAAAAATCTTTCAAATTTGACTGTAGCTTTTTTTTCCCAAAAACTTTGTCTTCAAAATAAGGGTGTGTCTTATATTCCGAAAAATACGATATGTAATTTCAATTTTCTTGACCAAATGAAAAGAATTTTAATAAAGTTGTGATTTATCTAAACCTTAGAAAATTTAGGTTTGCTTATTCAATAATGTATATCCTCAGATAATTAAACTATAATGTTCATTACCTGCTCTTTGGTCTGAGCTTTGGTCACATAGTCTCTTCCAACTTTCAGTCGTGGCTTTAGAAATGCTTTGGTCATCTCAGTGACATTGAGACCAAGCAAATGGCTGACTTTCTGAGCAACAGTATTGTCGGGTAAAGTTGCTTGATCCGAGTTCCTTTCTTGTTTAAATTTCATATTCCCAAACAGTACAACAGCAGAAATCACACGGAAAATGGCTAAAGCAAAAATAAAGTATTAAAAATATCTAAACGAAAACATAATCATGTTAGGAATTATATACATCAGAATATTTATAATACCATAACTAAGGGCCCATTCTGACTCCATTACAAAAAGACATAAAGGGCACTATATGAAGAAACAGTAACTTAAGATTCTAGATAGAAATGCATGTTAAATGCATGTTGAACAGTACCATAGCAAATATTTTTATACTATAGCACTTCATTAATCCATCTTCTAATAAACAACACACAACAGTATTCTGAATAATCACAAGAGTTCAAACTACGGAAAACAACAATCAAATGTTATGTTTTTACGTGAGAGAAAAAAATATTATATACACAAGAATGAATTATCTTCACAAACAGAACACAACAAACTCTGAAGCAATATTAAAGTAAGCAGAAACATTCTAAAAAAAAATTATAATAATGTTTAATACTGTATTTCTGAATTTTGACACTGACTAAATTTTTCTTCTCAAACACACACACATAAAAAAGGTAGAACATGTCACTGAAAAATTTCAAAACTCCAGATCTTTAGAAAAATAAATATAAAACTTACCACCTAAATCTTCCTGAGACAGGCCCATAATATCCATGGCTTTAGTTGTGTTTCTAAATTCCTGGCTATCAACTACTCCAGGTACAGGAACATTCCCATATGTAAGGAATGTGTAGTTTTTTATGTCTTCCAAGAGATATTCTTCTATTTACAACAAAAAGTTATTCAAATATATCATACAAATTCCAAGTTTCAATAACAAACAAAAAATTTAAGTGGAAAAATCAATTGTTTGCATTTCATATGAAGACATAAGGACTGTTAAACTAATTACTAATAAAGTTTTAAATTTAAAAAAATATTCATTATAAAAACTCATTTGATTGAGGTTTTAACATTCAAAACATTCTCATTCACTAGTAAAACCCATGCTTTAGAGAACCAGGAACATTCCTTTAATAACACATGTATATCTCTGTTCTACAACAAATATCAATAATTAGTTTTGATGTAACCTTTCTTTCCTTTCATGGTAATGAACAACAGAGTTCTTAAACATTACTTTTAGTAATTAAATATATTCAGTATAGGTTATAGCTAGTATGACATCCTTGGAGTAAAGTGCTTCTGAAGGTACAGTGTACCAATATGTAAGCTACACCAGCTGCTATTGGAATTTCAAAGTATAACATCTCTCTTGGTGAGTCACTCTTAAAAATAAGCTATTGTGTAGATACACTTGTGATTATGAGAGTTATGTTCAGTGCTATTCAATGTAAACCTTAGAAAGAAAGACATTCCACTAAACAATTTCAATGAAGGACATAAAACTGGCAGCACTGAAAACATCAAATGTTAGCTAAGTGGTTGAAGAGGTTTGGTACTGATACTGAATTTGTTTGGTTTCCAAATAAAAAAAATTATACAGAAAGAAACCTTATAAGCAAGACTAGTGCAATAACATACACCAAGAGAAAATCAATAGAAGGTAGGACGCTACAGTTCATGTATGTTTCAAAATAACTTAGCACTCAAGCAGTATAAGATTATTGAGTGTTTTTTTAAGTATACCAGAGTATATTTTTTTATTCAGTTTTTAAGATATAACTTCATTTACGTTCCAAGTTATGGTTTCATGATGTCTTTCCTCTTTACAAGTTTCCCCCTTTTTTGCCAAACTACACCTCTTCTTGCAAGTTTATACATTTTAAAGTTTTTCACAGTTTTAAAAGTCTTAAGCTTGCTTTATTTTTTTTTTCGAACTGTAGCTTTTCCAAAACACACCAAAATGTTCAATACTCGTACACTTCTTGGTTCAGTGATAAAATGTCTTATATAAATTAATACTTAGAGGATTTTTTGACTGTACATTAAAGTATGTATCTTGCTTATACTAAACTCCAAGAAAGTGTACTGTTTACTTTTGCACTAAGGAAAGCATACAGAAAATGGTTATTACAACAACTGGGAATTACACTAAAACATTATTACTATGGAATTAATTATTCAGGGGTTTCTTACTTTTCTGTTCTAGTGCAGCTCCACTAAGTAGCTGGTAAAAGATATGGAAAGCACGTTCATCCTTAGCTTGACGAATGGCACGAGACTTTTCCAATAAATCTTTAAAATCTTGCTTAAGGATTAACAATTTACCATACTACTAATGACAATAATAGTAACATATATAGACCAGAGATGCTTATTTTCAGTTTATAAAAATAACTAACAAATTAAACTACTAAAACAAGTAAAAGTTGTACAATTACCTTAAGTTTCAGTGATTTGAATAAACTATTTATATTATATAAACCATAAACTTCTCAGTTGCTTTTGTTTCATGTATGATTTATCTTATCTGTTACTTCTTGCTTATTTCATGCAAAATGTATTTATTAATTCTTTATTATTTCATACATGATTTATGTTATTTATCACTTCTTATACTGTTTCATGTACAATTTGTCTTAAATCAATGTCTGTTTTATATCCTTAATGATTTCTAACAATTTAAATTTGTAACGTAGGATGTTACTAATTTGATTCTTTTGTCTTTTCATAAACAAATTATTAATACAAGTACAATAACAAATTTTTAAATTTTATAAAGACAAGTAGGGATCAGTTTATATATGTAATCTAAAACTTGAAAAACTGCATTTTAATCTATTTCCTAATGTATTTCATCTGATGGGTTTAGTTTCCTAAAGATTATTTCATCCCAATGTTTCTTGAAACTAGAGTTCAACATCTTTAAATTTTTTGTACTATGTAAAATATAGTAAATGCTCCAAGCAATTAGGACTGACAATGGCAGTTCTACACATACATACATACATACACACACGTAACCTAGCTAGCTATAGTAATATAGTTTTAGTGCTACAAAAAGTAACAAAAAAAAGATATCAAAACTACAAAAACTGAGTTACTTAAAATTTAAAATTTTGACAAATCACTGTAATTATGGTAGTCTGAGCCAAAGTGGTGATAAAATTTTTTACATTTTAAATAACTCATTAGATTAAAAATGCACTATAAAGATGATTTCAAATTATTTTCTGTGCTCATACTTACACAAACAATAATACAGTTTATTCTTTTCTCAGCAGGGTCATGTAAAATACATGACTCTGTCTGGGGAATGATACAAGTGCAACGATACATACTATAACTCTGTGATTTCTTAATGTATCCTCACAAAAACTGGTTAAGATTTTGTTAAAGATTTTAAGTATCTTGTACACAAAGAATGACATTATTTTAATTAAATATTTATGTTATTTATCTACTGTATTAGGTCGTCAAGAAATTAATGTCATGTTTTGGAACACTTTCATTAACCACCCCCCCAAAAAAACGTACATCACATATAATAGTTAAACGAACCACCTAAATATCACGTTAGTGTAGCCTATATAATGTGTAAAGTTTAGTATATTCTAGTCCCTTATAGTGATGGCACATGACGAGACACACAATCGTCATGTAATGCTGTTTGAATACAAGAAGGGAAATAATACCCATGTAGCCACAAAGAATATCAAAAAAGTTTATGAAAATGTTTTGAACATTCGTAAGTGTCAACAACGGTTCAGGAAATTTTTGTTCAGGTGACTTTAGCCTTAAAAATTGTGATGGCAGAGGCCAACATGTTGGAATTGATATTGATGCTCTGAAGATGCTTGTTGACTCTAACCCACTCATGAAATGGCCCTAAAATTACATGTCTCTCATGAAACAATACGTAAAGATCTAAGAAATATGGGAAAACTCTATAAAGAAGGTGTTTGGGTGCCTCATGAACTCTCCAATGATCACTGTTTCCAACGTGTGAATGTTGCTTCGTCTCTTCTGGCGCATAATGCGCATGAACCATTTTTGGACAGAATTGTCGCTGGTGATAAAAAATGTATTCAAAAAACAATGGCTCAGTCCTAAACAAAAACCACTTGCGACCCCAAAACCTGGACTCCATCCACAGAAAGTGATGCTTTGCATTTGGTGAGACATCAAAGTAGTAATTAATTTCAAACTCCTCAATCCACAGTGAAATGTCAATACAGAATTCTATAGTCAGCAACTAGAACATTTAAATCAAGCCCTTCATCAGAAACATCCTTCACTCATCAATCAGAAAGGTGTTCTTCTTCTCCACAACAATGCACTTCCACATATGGCACGTTTGATGCAACACAAGATCATGGAGTTGGGTTGGGAAGTTCTCCTCATCCCACCATATTCTCCAGATATGGCACCATTAGATTACCATCTTTTTTGTTTCAAATCCGAGTGATTTCTTTAATCAGGGCATTAACAACCTGATTGTAAGGATGGAAAAAAATCATCAATAAGAATGGAGACTTTCATTTAATAAATGTTTTGTTTTGATATACAAGTTGTTCTGCTTTTACATCTAAAAAAATGCGACATTAATTTCTTGATGACATAATAGTTATTTGCACTCAAACTATTAAGAGTTTGAGTACAAGGTGATTTTCAATTTAAGTATAAAAATACTTTTCTCCAACTTACAGTTTGAGTTTTATTTACATAACCTCTAGAACCTTCTAAATCAATATCAAACGTTTTTTAAGGTAAATGTTTATATTTTTTCATTTTCTCTACCATATCATTAGCTGTACATATTATCATCAACATACAGTATAATGAAATGTTTAAAATTAAGGAATAGAAAAAATATGCATACCTTTTAACTTTATCATAGAAGGTCTTAAAAGATCTTTTGGTTATATTCATAATTTCAGGTCTTTTTCACATATAGTCAATTTTTAATGTTTTATTTTCCTTTCCTCTATTTTACCTTTTATCAATCATCTCAACACAAGTCACAGTGCCTTCAGGGTATAATTACAGTATCTTCAGCAGAGATGCACAAGACTTCGGTAAAAGTTATCTTACCCTGGCGCAAGATCTTAAGCCTTGAGAACTGATACAAAGTATGATGCATATTTAAAGATATAAAAGTAGGATTTAAATTCAATTTAACTGTCTCTCTGACTATAAAATACTTAGCTAAGAAAAAATTAAGTGCTGTCGAAGATCAAGCAGTCAACAACACTACAAGCAGTTATATCTACCAGATGACAAAAACTGTACACCAATTTCACAATAACTGTTGGTGGTTATAGTGTAAAATAAGCTTTTTCTAATGACTATACATATGTATATCTAGCAACCACATGTATGTTATTAGGCTCAAGCAAAAGTACAGAAGGTGGACATGGCACCCATCAAGGGTTGACAAAATTTATTACTTGTTTCTACTCCATTTAGCAAAAAAAACTTTGAAACCTGTGTCAATAGGGCAAATAAACATAATCAATTGTCTAGACATACATCTACAGGACTTGCATTATCTGAGTCAATACAAAATGTGTGAAAGTTCAGATTTTTCATAGTTCATGGATCATGCGACAACACAAACTGAAGTTTAAGTATTTATTAAAGGTCTCTTCTGAAATAAATGAATTAAAACTTAGATAACATAAAACACTGAATCATAATGTACATTATAATGTTAATTTCATTCACATACATTAATAGTGAAGTTATTTAATTAAATTTTGAAAGTAAATAACTCGGGGACTTACACAGAAAAGTGTTTAATGGGGGTAGCCATCACGAAAGGGTTAATAGATTAAGTTACACAACTTGACAGCATATTCAAATACTTAAACTCTGAAGAATTTAATATAGTAATGTTGTTTCACAAAGTTAATTTGAAAACTGGATTCTTGATAATGTTAAACAAAGTAACCAACTTTATATCACAGTGAGAACAAGAAACTTATTTTTTTCCCTTTCATCCAGTATGGGGTTGCTTGTGACTATATTTAATGTTCTAAAATCAATATTTTAAAGCATTAATAAATCTACTTTTTTATACAGAATACAATATTTTATTTTACCTGTCAATGTATAAATGTTCTATCTATCACAGGCTTTTACTTGTATGCTCTGGTGTTTGTTTGTATCAGATATTCATGCAAAGCTACACATGGGTTATCTGTGCTAGCTGTTCCTAATCTCAAACTGACAGACTAGAAGCAATAAAGCTAGTCAACAGCAACCATCAACAACTTTTAGATTATGCTAAATGAACAGTGTGGAGTAAGATTATGTGACAACAGGACATGAACCAAGGATCCTCTGATCCATAGTTTGGCACAATAACCACTAGGCCACTTCATGCAGTGAAAAATGAAAGCTAACCAATGAATAACAATTCCACATCAAAGGATACAGGTTTCAATATTGGCACCCGCAATAAATCCAGAAGCATCAAAGTTAATGCGAATAAACTTGCCCTAATTGACAAAGAAATGTCAGATTAAGACTATATCAGCATTAAAAAATAATATTAGTTGAAGTATTTCACAAATGAAGAGTGAAAAAAAAAACATATTAGCAAAAGTTATGTTGTACATCTAACCTAAAATTTACTAATATGTAGAGACAAAAGTCATATGAGGTTATACCTAGATTTGTAAGCATATAACATTTTCCAAGTCAAAAATATATTCTGCAAGAGAACAAAGATTTATGTTCATTTCAACAAAATTACATTGTATTCTGATAAATTAATGTCTATGCACACACTATTCAGCAATCCATAAGTAAATGTTAAATAAAAAAAGGGCTGTATTTTTACTTACAAATCTTGATGAGTTGTCATTTTTAACTGTTTTTGCATTTCCAAATGCTTCCAAAATAGGGTTAGCTTGGAGTAGTTGTTGCTCTAGTTCCCCCTACAATAAAGGGAAAGATAAAAACCTTTAATAAGCTTTTGGAATACCTTGAAAATGACTGTGATCTTCACATATAAAATTTGTTAATAGGTCATTTGTTTATTCTAGTGGAATATTTGTAAATAGGAATTTGATATTAAAGCTTACCATGAAAACAGAGTCAGGAAAGTCGTTTGTTCTAAAGACAAAACATCCTTTAAGAAAGAATGTCGGTAAGTATTTAATTTGTAATTAAAAGTACCAATGATGGATACAATAGGTGTCATGAGTATATGTGTTTTGAGGGTTTATGGTAATCCTTAAAGAATACCAGGGTGAGAACCCATAGGATGCAGATCATTATAAATAGATTCAGAAAATAATATTATTTTTTTAACCTCTCTAGTGAAAGTGGGATCATTAAGATTGCTTTATACTTTATGCATATAGTCCACTCTGATAAGAAGTACATCACCATTACCTTTGTCAGGCTCAGTAATGATTATATCCATATTACATTTTAGTTGTTTTACATCAGACATCTCATACTTGCTGAGTAAACTGAGCTTTTTGCATTGTTTGCAGTTATGGAGAGAAACCAGAGCAGTACTACTGATATGGGTCCTAATGTTATCAAATGTTATATTGCTTTTTGTCCAAGCTGGTTTATATTTTACCTTATATAAAATAGTCTCAAAGGGAGTAAGTAGGTACCACTGGATGCAGTTTTGAAGGTGGCAGAGCAAAGGATAAGCCTCTAGCTAAAACCTTCTTTGTTATATAATTGAGTTAATAACTGGACAAATTGTTGATAATGTTGGCTGGATTACGTAAGAAGCTATCATTGTAGCCTGGTTTACCAAGTAAATGTAGCTTTTTAGCTTTTCAGATTTATCCTTTATAATATTCTGTTGTTAAGTTGCCAAAGAATTTGTGTGTACGTAATATAGCCACCTGAAAAAGTTCTTAAGGTCATTAAAGCTATGCTGTAGGTCATTAAGGAATGTCTTTTGGGTTCTAATTTTATTTTTTATTTTAGTCACTGAGAAATCTTACAAGCTTGGCTGGAAATTATATCTTTATTTGCAAGTTTAATTGTTAAGTTAGGTACAAAGTTATAGGTCTGACAACTTTTGAGAAAATTTAAGTCAAGTGAGTTCTTGTGATATTCTAAGTGTCTTGTCATATACCCTGAAAAAACCTTCAAACCCATATGTACACACAATTTGAATCTTGACTTAAATGAAGAGAGACCTGAAGGAAATCAGATTATAAAACCAATATAGAATGATCTGCTAGTGAAATACTTAGCAATTATAAGTCCAATTTTCTGGTTAAATGGTATTAACTTTTCAAATAATACTCTGTTACTGTTATTACAAATGGTATATTATATACAGCTACTGGTACATCAGAATGCTCAATATCCATAATAGATGTAGAAATAAAGATCTCTTTTACAATATACATAAAATGTCTTCCATTACCTAAAACATTTCTGCTGGGGGAATCAACCCAATTAATCAATATAATAAATTACCTATGAACATCAAATGTATTGATTAGTATCACATAAAATAAGCAATTCATCGCAATTATGACTGAATTAATGTCATAACAATAATCTAACTGATCAAAATTAATATTTCTCATTATTCCATCTACTCAGGTTATCAAAAAAAAAGATATTATTATTTTCATATTATTTCAAGTTTGTTTACCTTAATCTAATATGTCATGATTATCTAAATAATAATCAACTAATCAAAATTAGTGTTTCCAATTATTACCATTTCAGATTCTTCCAATCCAAGTCTCGTGAGAATAATCACAAAGTTGAATGTAATCGATTAATAAGCCTGGCAATTAATCAATTATCAAATTCCACTTACCGCTCAGCTATTATTGTTGTTAAGCTTTGTAAAAAAACAATAATAGTGTATGTTGCACTCATCCTTGATGCAAATTTAAAATCATCTTTTACAGAGACCCCTAGAGTCATACTAAGCACTCATGGCATCTGTTTCAAAGGTTTTTCTTATATTCAAAACAAAAATTGAGATAAGTTGTCCTCATACTGTACCAATACAAATAATTTACTGTAGTTGAAACCTGATAATAAACTAACTAAAACATTTCTATTTTAGGAAAGAATAAGTCCTGCTGCAATAAAGTTGACTTATAAACAAAAGCAGATTTAAAATTACAATGTGTATTTTAAAGACAAAATCTCAATGAATTTGAGGAAATATAGAAATCTTTTAACAATTATAATAAGAACAAAATTTGTACTTCTTCAGAATTTGGAGAAACCAAATGGCTAACCATTTAGATCTACAAATGGACTGAATCAGATTTGTTAAAAATTGAATTTCCATTAATAAAACTTCAATTTAGATACACAAACTGAGATACAAGCTCTTTACTTGAAATAAATTTCTTCTAACATTCAAATTGCTTTCAATGGGCCAAAAATGTTACTGAAGAGATTTTATTTTTACATTTGATCTAACCTTTATAAAAGCCAGTGTGTGTCACATCATGCTTGATTTCTTGAAATAGGAGGAGTCATAAAAGCCAAAATGCATTTATCCAGATAGAATAGTTCGATTATTGTCTGCCCATTACGATTTTAGTGACAGGGGTGCAAGAGGGCCATGAGAAGGGTGGGGTGCCATGAAACCTTATAAGTGTAGTGAGTCTTGGTATAATAAGCCTAAAGTAAAGATGTGCTGTTTGATCACCAAGCCTAGAACCAAGTGCATAAAATTATCATGAAAGTAAAAATATCAATTCAATTTTAAACTTAAATTGTATTCGAATTAAGCTATTTTCTGCTATATCACCACCATTTTTAACATACAACAAACCTCTTTAATCAACAGACTCTAAATTAAGAAATCAACAAATATTTTTCCAGCTTTGTTTTCTATACATTTCATTTTATACTTTCAGTACATAGACTAACAACAATATTAGGTTATATTTTTGTTGCTAAGCAACATGACATAAACCCATTGTTGGAATGTAGTGTTTACCAAAATACTCTGGCTTTTCTATATAGTAGAAGTTGTTAAACTAACTGATTTTTACCAATAATTATTCTATGAATATGCCACAAATTCATTTCATGAATGATCTTAAGTTTGATTGGCTCACAAAATAATTTACTGACATTTGACTGCCTCAACTGCACTTTTCTGCCTTTATGTTGGTCATTCTTGATTTAGCAAAATTTATTTATTTTAGTTAGCTATGAATCGTAAGGCTAGGGTATACTATGGGGTGGAGGTGGTAGTACTTGACCAGTCATTTTTGATGGGCTATACGCTAGTTATTTTATAAATATCAGTTTTGGAACTTTGAAAATATTGTTACTATAACTTGTTTGAAATATCTTTTTTTTTAATAATAACCTTTATATCTATGACCAATCAATTTTTTCAGTGCACAAATAAAATATCTAAAATAAAACATGGTAGCAAATATTTGATATAAAACTTTATTCAGCAACAACATTTACGACTGAGCATTTTTTTGAAATATCCAAATTGGAACATGCTGGCACAATTTCTAAGATGTAAGAATATTATGTATTAAAGTCCTTTTGTTTAATAATAACTTTTGCATTTATGTGCCAATTTTCTTTAATGTAAATAAAAAATAGCCTAAATCAAACATACTGACATAGTTTTGAAGATGCTACTGCTACATTATTTTATGTTTGTGAAACTCTTGGAAATGCTTCTGATATCCATAGCTTATTTGAAAGGCTATTACTATAATTATTATTATCATTTAATAATTTTTAAATCTACTACTTTTTACAAAAGTGAATATATTGTTACAGCTGAGCTTTGTTTGTTTTGTATGAAGTTAAGCACAAAGCTACTCTATGGACTACCTGTGCTCTGCCCACCACGGGTACCAAAACCCAGTTTCTAGCATTGTACGTCAGCACTGTAATACAGTGGGGGGCCAGCTGAGCTTTGAGAAATATTTTTGAGGATAAAATCATGGCTCAATAAGAAATAAATTTATGGCTTATCAAAAAATACCAAAACAGCTAAATTATAGCTTCCCACTTCTTACAAGTTCCAAAATCCAAAAATAAAAATATGATGAAAATCATATCATCAAACAAATAAAACAAGTTACTTATATCAAAATGCCTCTGTTCTAACTACACCAAATTTTCATTTCATTTTCTTCACATATCTTAAGCTCATGTTTGAATATTATCTAAAGTCATTATATCGACTTGTAAGCTAAATCCAAACAACAGTTAAACTCACTACGACAAAGCACAATTTCAATATTAGAATAGTATCTCACTAACTGTTTACTGACTTTCTTTGACTTATTCCTCAATTTTGAAACATCCTCTCTCATACACTTGCATATTCTAATCATACGTTTCAAGAATATCTTTAAATTATTTTCTGTTTCAAATTTTTTTAGAATTCTAAACCTTCTGAAGTAATTAAACAATTACGGACTTATTCAATGACCCTCTTTCTTCAGTAATTGATGCTTACCTATAAAATGGACACTAATCTCCCATAATGCTTAAAGCTGCAAAGGATCATTTCAAAACATATCCAATATTACCTCAAATGAACAATACTTTTCATAGCCTAGTGTCTGTGGCTTTAATATATCTATATTATTTCTTAATTTTATTAGAATATTATTATTACAAAGATTACTTTGCACTGTTAGCTCAGTATATGGAATAACCTAAATCTTCTAAATTGACCAAATCTTGTGATATATTATTCAATTTATGACCAAAAATCACTAACAATGAAAATATCCAACTGGTTAAACAATACACTCTAACCTTTATAAATAAGAACAGTATGTTTAACTATTTTTACTACTGAGTTGATTTTTAGTTTTGATCTATGCGAGTTGCTAGCTTGCTTTGACCGGAAGTTAATATTAATAATTCTTAATAAGGCCAGCATTATTCCTGCCTTTAAGAGAAACTCGGCCTACTTAAGTATTTTAATCATAAACACAGTACAACAAAACACTTATTTGCCAAATTTGCAACATATAATTACTTAGTATGCATTTGTGTTTAAAAACAAGTCTTTTTTATCAACACTTCTTACAAGAAGTGACTTACAAATCAATAATACTGCATTATCACCAAGCACTATGAATGCAGGGAAACCTCAAGAACTAAAACTACCCTGATGCAGTAGTTTCATCAAGTACTATTAGGTTTATTTAGCTGTGTCAATATCCTGTTTTATAACAGACAAGCCTGTATTACAAACCCTTATCTTACAGAAATTAATATGCTTTGTGTTGTCCAAGGTGTACTATATTTCAGAGTAAAAAATATAATCAACAAAACTCAGGTCTTGTTAAAGCCAACCAGTTCAAAATTCTCATAACTATTATTTTTATAAGTACAATAGACTTAGTTCTTCAGGAAGGTCAAAAGTAAATTCAGAGAATCATTAAATTATTAGTAATGGGAGGCTACTCATTCTAATATCATAACAGAAACCTCTTTGTTTAACAACATGTGACAAAAAGATTTCAATTGATATTAATTAAAGCAGCCCACAAGTTGAGGTGTTACTCAATTTACTTCATTCATTTTCACTACAGCCTCTTAATTCATATGCTCAACAGGTCTCTCATAACACAAACTGACAGCTGAGAAAACAAATTATCTTTAATACTCTACAAGTTTTCAATAGATTATGTAGAACTTGTGCATACAAATTTCTTCTTAATAAAGTGTTTAAAATACTTTAATAAATTTTCCTTTTCAAAAGTGAGGTATTATATTCTGGTGTTTTACTCAATTCCGAAGTAGTTGAGACAATTCTATCTTTTAACCATTAAAATTGGTATAAGATTGTTTACTTTAAAAAAAAAAGGTGTATATATGTACATACACATACACACATGTACATTTCAACAGTATCCCATAAATTTTAAAGACATTTCTGAAAAAAGTCTGAAAAATAAATCAACTATGGTTTTGGAATGTGGTAAAAACAATTTCATCTGAAGCCCTCTTATAAGTCTAGACTCCATATTTAAAGATCTTATATCTTATATTTTTTACATCAATTGCAGCTTAGAATCTCCTTCAGGACATAAATCACTAAAGTGGTTACACTTCTACTGTACCAAGAAAACTAAATATATCCAAGAGACTTAATACAAAAACACTACAACTTAAAAGTACAATAACTATGGTTTATGATGCCACTGTTAATATTATCAGAAACTAATGAAGGTAGAAATTGTGATATAGCTTTTGCCCATATTTGTTAAAATTCCTATGTTTTATCTATTTAACTACCACTTTCCTCATTGTATTATAAATATTTTTTTTCACTTTCTAATCAAGAACTAATAAAAAACACACACTCAAAACACCTACTTACTTACAGGTTCAGCCCTAACAATAAATAACTGGCAATATTTTATAAATTAAAGCAATATAAATCAACCGATATTAATAATGGCATTTAGATATCTAAAAAATCATCAGCTCATTGCATTATTGCCTTTGTTATTTACAAGTGTTATATACCAACTGTTGCACAATTTTTTTTTTAATGCTTTAAACCTTGAAAGTAGCTTCTTTAGACCCTAGAATCAATACCATAAGTTAATCATTTCTAGATTTATGTAATGTAATACAATAATAATATAATGAACACATCCAATATCTGAAACATTTCGTACTCCATTCTGATAAACTGTAACAACAGCTATGATACAATCCACAATTCATTCTAGTATAATTATTGCAAGTAAAAGTTACTGCAAATTATAATCTATTACCTTCACTATTACACTTACATCTTAATTATCTTAATCTTAACAGTATAGATAAAAAGAGCTATAAAATAGTTTTTCTAGAAAAAAAAAACAACTATGAAACCTGTTGTCTTCTTTTGTCATATGTATAATTAGGTTTAAAAATTCTACTATCATTTGTTTTTGTGTATTTATATTATTTTGTCAACCAAAAAATAAACGTAATTTTAATCTGATAACAAGTATCATTAATGGCTTCTTTTTTTTGGATTTTAACTTGTACATGCTTCTTTTCAAAATAATATAGAACAAAAACTAAAAAACATGACAATTATCTTTTCAGACTTTTGATTAAGTTATTAAAATAAAACATAACGTCAAACCAAACCACAATCAAAATGCAATAATCAGGTTACACAAAACTGGACTTACAAAAATACATACCCAGTTAACACATGTATACTTACAATTGCATTACTGGATGTCTGGGCATACTGCTGTGGAAAGTGCTGTGACGTGCAAGGAATTATGGGAAAACGTTGAACAGAGTGTACATTAGAAGAGACATCATGTGTACCAATCACCATGGATATACATGCAACAAGCAACAGAAGGTAAGCAATAGGTGTAAAACAAGAACAGCTTGAGATGCATAACTTATTAAAGCAAATACATTGTGCAAAACCAACATCCAAGTTTACTCCAAAACAAAGGAAAAGGGAGAAAAATCATGTAACACTCTGTACAACATTTACATTCACCACTGATAATATAAAAATTTTCATAGATCCATTTATTAGGCTTTTTCAAAATGCAATAACATACCAGTTATAGAAGCAACAATGTATATAACATGCCTGAAGAACATGTATAAAACTTCAAGGTGATTTTTTTTTTAATTCAAATTACCACATTATTACAAATTAACACAAGATTATAACTTGTTCGATTATTCACCTGTTTAAAGCCAGATATATATTGTTGAAATAATCTATACATTAACAGATGTCACATGTAAACAAACTTTAACACAGATAACGTTAAACAGGTTTAACACAGAGTCTGTGGTATTCTTACTGTAAAATTAAGATAATGTTGGTTAAGTTATGAGATACTGTAGTTTACTTAATATTCGCAGGAATTATCTTTCACAGTTTTACATTGAAACTTGTTTCGCAGGTTTTAACTTTCACAGAAAAATGAAACTGAAAATGCATCAATTCTCCATTACATAAATTTTTAGACATCATTCTGTTTTTCTAAGCAACATCTTTCATACTATTAGACCTTGCAATCGTGCTGTGCAACTGAACTGACGTGTTGGTAATCCTCCTATTGAAAGCATTTAACTTGTCTGGGCATGTTACAGCAGGTGCTGCAGGTACTTAACTGACTACAGCAATAACAAACAATGAACTAAATAATAAATAATATTTGCTTGCATATATCTGTTTGGGTTTTATTTATCATTTATCACTCATAAAAGCTTTATTCTTCGCTGGAACTATCGTTCATGGAAACATATGTACCACAAAAATAAGGAAAGTTAATTCCATGCGAACAATAAGTAATTTACAGTAACCTATATCTAAAGAACAAGGACTCTGTGACATGTTAAATGTCTAACAGGTTACTTATAAAACACGTTTTACCTAGAATACATGTAACATTAGCTTAATGCATGGCACAAGTAAAATACGTGAGCTTAAATTGAAAACTTCAATGCACAGTCAATATAAGATTAGAATTAAAGTGAATATAAGTAACGTAGATATGATGAAAATAGTGAATTCAGTGTACAGCAAAGGTAAAATACTCTGAAGGTGCAGCATTTCATAATTAAATTACTCTTCATCCAAAATTAACAACAGAGCTGAAATTAAAGTATAGAATCTCCATGTATTCACTGAATAAAGTTAATTATTCATTTTCCTTGACAGTATAACAATAGTTAAAGCATTAGAACGTGAGCACCCTCAAATTTAAAATAATCAACATTAGGGTTTGACTGAATCAATCTGTCTGAAAGAGTAGAGAGTTATGGACCCCCTTGGCATGACTCAATTTCTGTAACTGTAGGGCAAGTTTTTTTTATAATTCATTTAATAATGATAAATGTGATTTTGTCCTATTAAACAAGCACTGCAACACCAAATTCTCTGACTCTGCAATGGCTGGTGAGTTAAGTTGGATTCATGAAGTCTTTTACTTCCTTTGGGTTACTAACAACCACTTGATTTGATACAAACAATGAGATACAATTTGTTTCTCTGTTTGTTCAATTTTTAAAGCTTGAAAAGCATTGACCGTTTGTACTTTAACTATCACCTGCTATCAAGTGGTAACACTGTTACCTACTTTTACAGAAATAATAACCAAAATAAATTATAAAATCTGAAGACAAAATGGAATACTCTCTTTCCAAGGCAGAATACACCTGCAAAATGCACCAAAAGAATTGTTCCATCTCAAAACAGGGCAAATTAGATGGGCATATAAATAATGACATACCAAAGTACAGAACTGTATTCATTTCCCAAACCACATTAAATGATCATCCTTTTAAAGCATGGTGTATTGGTGTTAATACAGAGGGAGTGTAAAATAACCTTGGTGTATAGCTTGACAAATCAAGCTGAATAAAAAAACATTCAAAAACTAAATTTATCTATACACTGAATCTAATGCACAATATAAGACACATGGGAATATTTTGTAAGTGTAATGTACACTCAGTGACTTAAATTGAGTTTACAACACGTTTAGATATAGCACACAAGTGTTCATAGACATAATAAGTGTAAAAATCTATAGGCTCTATACATAAAAAAGTAACTAAATGCACACCAGGCAAATATTATGTTTAATCTAGTGCAAAAGAAGTTACAATTACTGCACACTGAATAATTTATCACATCGACATAAACACGGTGAATTTCAAGCATGAGAAATCTGTATAAGGATGATAAAACTGACTAGTGTAGAAAATGTGTAATAAACATTAAACGGAAAAAAGTTTGATATATTTTTGAATTTTTTTTTAAATATGCTTAATGTACTGTAACTGCAGAATAAGTTTACAAGCACACAAGTTTCAACTACCCACTATGCAGCATTCACATCTCCTTCAGTTTCACTTAAGTTAATATCATGTACTAGGACATCACATTTAATATTAATGATGCTTTATGCATTTGATTTAAACAAATACACTTGTAAACATTCATAAACATCTGATAAAAAAGGAAGTATGTGAAATAAAGATAAAGCTTTTCAATATAAAGAGTATGTTTTTCAAGTAACCACAAACACTGTATAAAAAGTATGATGTTTCATTTCATTACTTAAGCCAATAAAAACTGACTTGCCATTACGAGTGTGGATGTCTGGTCCGAGACATTTGGCACTGTGAAAGGTTCCATGCTAGAGTTTTTGTGTTTCATAGGTAAAATATACTCTGTTCTTTCTATTTCATTACTTTCATTAACAATATTGGTTGGAATATTTAATATATTTAGTTTCATTACCTTTTAGTTTTAGTTTTATTATAATACTTTCTTTATAAAAAGTGTTTTGCATTGTTAGTTACATATATATTATGGGCTAACCTGAATCTCTTAAGCTCCTTGCGAGATATTATTGGGCTTATGGCTGAAAATATCATTAACAGAGGGGGGGGGTACCTAACTACTGAAACAATGCATTCTAATCCTTATAAATAAAATTTTAGGAAAAGTATACTTAATTAAATATAGTCATTACCAATACCAAAATACATTTTAGTTTCACTCCAAGCAAATAGCTTGTTCTAATCAGAAATTAATATTAATCATGTTTTACCTCATGTATTGGGCATTATAAGAAAACTAAGGTACCAAATAAAAATAATTGTGTTGGATTAAATTAAATCTTTTCCTGTTTAAGGCTACAAAAATCATACATGTATTACTTTATTTACATCATCTTGTATTGAAACACAAATAAGTCTCATTTTATATTATTAGTTACTCAACACATTAATATCCAAGTGTTTCATCTTTCAAGAGTCATCGTTTAATCAGCACTATAAAAATATATCTAAACAAATGACTTTATATTGGGAAGTTCATATCCAGCCTACTACATATTAAAGAAGAATACCCTTTTAATATTTGTTTGTTTGGTTTTTTTTTTCACTGGAAGATGACAATTTGTTTTTCTTAAAGATCACATCTTTGCAGATACTTTTATGATCATTTAAGTTATTAAGCATGTGCAGTACTTAGATTTTGTTTGTTGGATGTTTACATGGAAATCAAGTACTAGCATTTATTTGGTACAAATATGCTGTATTTATAAAACAGTATATACAGTATATATATATATATATATATATATATATATA